AGGGGAGGGGAACTGTCAAATTTCCAATCATAAATTTCGAATTCATATTCTCCGATCTTTTTTATTTTTCTCTCTCTTTTTTTTCAATTCCACTGGGCTTCCTTGTTCAATATTCTCTGAGTCGCGGGAGCATAAGATATTGCCTGTCTCCTGTGGTTCTGGAGGTGAAGTCTTAGAAGCATATATAGGCCCGATTTTGTTTAATCTGTGTCTCTGTCTGCCTTTATCTATGTCTTTCTTTCCTTTTGCTCTTTCATTTTTTTCTATTTCTTTCTCTCTGGCTCAGTCTCCGTCTCTCTCTGTCTCTGTCTCTGTCTCTCTCTCTCTCTCTCTCTCTCTCTCTCTCTCTCTCTCTCTCTCTCTCTCTCTCTCTCTCTCTCTCTCTCTCTCTCTCTTTCTCTCTCGCTCTTACTCTGAATCTCTCCCTCTCTCCCTCTCTCCCTCCCTCACTCTCCCTCTCTCCCCCTCCTCTATCTCTCTCTCCCCTACTCTCCTTCTCTTCCCTTCCCTCCCTCTCCCCTCCTCCTTTCCTCCCTCTCTCCCTCCCTTTCCCTCCGTCCCTCCCTTCTCACCGTGGGTGTGCATCTAACAAGGGTTTGAACGAAGGTCCCCGCAAGTATCAAGGACGAACGGAAGACTCATGGTAAAAGCAGCGTTACAGAAGAGCTAGCATTTCCCTCTGTCTCTCTCTCTTTACTCTCTCTCTCTCTCTCTCTCTCTCTCTCTCTCTCTCTCTCTCTCTCTCTCTCTCTCTCTCTCTCTCCCTCTCTCTCTCTCTCTCTCTCTCTCTCTCTCTCTCTCTCTCTCTCTCTCTCTCTCTCTCTCTCTCTCTCCCTCTCTCTCTCTCTCTCTCTCTCTCTCTCTCTCTCTCTCTCTCTCTCTCTCTCTCCCTCTCTCTCTCTCTCTCTCCCTCTCTCTCTCTCTCTCTCTCTCTCTCTCTCTCTCTCTCTCTCTCTCTCTCTCTCTCTCTCTCTCTCTCTCTCTCTCTCTCTCTCTCTCTCTCTCTCTCAAAGTCCCCAGAATCGCGCTCGAGTAAGGACCGCGTCCGACGGGGCGAGAGAGATTATGTGAAGGAGAGTGGCATATTGAAAGAGTGATGTAACTGTGATGTAAGAGTGATGTAAGATTGATATAGCGGCGATTTAACTGTGATTTAACAGCGATGTAACTGTGATGTAACGGTGATGCAAAGGTGATGCAACAGTGATGCAACAAGAAGAAGTAAAAAAGAAGTGTTTTAAGCATGATACTATTCACATCAACAATGAGCAACAGATACCGTATGTCTGGGTGATTGACAAGGCTCTCGTGGAAAAGTGTATAATGATTATTGTCGGGAAGAAGGAAATTAAACGATGGAAAGTGGAAAGAAATGGAGTTGAAGACGGGAGAGGGAAAGTATATATGTAAATATTACCATTCATTTTCTCCCCCTCCCTCCCCCCCCCCCCCCGTTCTCCTCATGATTTTCTCTCCCTTCCCCGTCTCCCCCACTCATTCTCCTATCTTTCCCTCACCTCCCCCCTTCCTCTTCCCTCTCATTCTCATCTAATTTTCTTCCCCATTTCTCCCTTCTTCCCCCTCCCCGCTGCTTCCCCCCCTCGCCCCGCCATCTTTTTTTTTGCCAGCATCTCATGCCATCCCGGTAGTCAGCCTCTGTAAATTCTACTGATGGGTATAGTGTAAAGATATATTTTCTCTGGCATGTGACGTGTATTGCCCCCGGGGAAGAAGAGCAGGTAAAGGGGAGAGACGACGAAAGGAAGGGAATGGGGGAAAGGAGAAGAAATAGAGGAAAGGACAAGAGCGACTGAGCGGGGATGGCTGAGAGGGAGAAAGGGAGAATAAATAGATGGGAAAAAGAGTAGGAGAAGGAACAGGGAGGATGGATAGAGGAAAAGGAGATAGAGGAGGAAGGAGAGTGGATGGGTTTAGGGCAAAAGGAAGGAAAGGGAGATAAAAAAGAAAGAAATAATGAAAGATGCAAAAGAGGGAGGGAGGGAAGGAGAGAGAGAGAGAGAGAGAGAGAGAGAGAGAGAGAGAGAGAGAGAGAGAGAGAAGAGAAGAGAAAAGAGAAAGGAGAGAAAGACAGACAGAGAAAAAATAAAGGAGATAGAGAGAGAAAGAAAATAAAAGAGAGCGAAGAATAGGCGAGAGAGGGAGGAAAAGGGAGATGTAGAGATAGAAAGTTGGACACGGCGATAGGAAGTTGGAGAAAGATGGTGGCCGCATCTGTCCAGGAAGCTTTAGTCTTTTTTATCACCTATGTGCAAATCTATATGTGTGTGTATATATATATATACATGTATATATATATATATATATATATATATATATATATATATATATATATATATATATATATATATATATATATATATATATATATATATATATATATATATTATACATATATATATATATATATATATATATATATATATATATATATATATATATATATATATATATATATATATATATATATATATATATATATATATATATATATATATATATATATATATATATATATATATATATATATATATATATATATATATATATATATATATATATATATATATATATATATATATATATATATATATATATATATATATATATATATATATATATATATATGTATATTTATCATTATCATTACTATTATCATTATTATTATTACCCTCATAATCGTTATTACTGTTGCTATGATTGTTATAGTTATAATTATCATTATCATTAACCTAACTGTAATCACTATTATCATTATTATTATTATCATCATCATCATCATTATCATTATAATTATTATCATTATTACTATTGCTGTTACTATTATTATTGTTATTGTTATTGTTTTATTATTATTATTATTATCATTATTATTATTATTATTATTATCATTATTATTATTATTATTATTATTATTATTATTATTATTATTATTATTATTATTATTATCATTATTATTACTATTACTGTTATTGTTATCATCATCATCATCATCATCATCATCATTATAATTATCATTATTATTACTATTGTTAACACTGTTTTTATTATTATTATCAATATCATTATTATTGTTATTATTATCATTACAATTTTTATCATTATTATCATTGATATTATCAATGTTGTCATTATCATTATTCTGTTTATTGTACTTATTGTCATTACAATTGATGTTATCATTATTGTCATCATTATTGTTATCTTTATTATCATTATCATTATTATTACTACTATTATTATCATTATTGCTATCATCATCGTTAGCACTATTGTAATCATTGTTAGAGTTATAATCATTATTATCATTAACATTATCATCCTCTTTGTTATAATTATCATCAATATTATCATTATCAGTATCATTATTATCATCATTATCATCATCATCATCTTAGAATTTTCTCGAATCGTCACTCAAAACAGCTAAGAAAACGAAGAGAAAAGAAGTACCAAGTTTCTCAATGGATAGAGGAAAGTGACGATCCATTTGTCATTGTTAAGTCAACACTCGATAAGATTTTCCCCCAAAAAACATCGTTCGATCCTCTTGATTTATCGTTCGTT